GAATCATCCCCTGTTCAGTTGAGTTCATCATCAACACCCTGACCTTGACCGCTGATTGAAGTTGCATCACTCACAAGAGCCGCCAATCAAGACCTCACCGCCCGCGTCCTTAGCCTTTTGAATATATCCTGTCACCTTTTGGAAGGCTGGGCGTCCACTGGACCCATAAACCGTCAATCATCCGCACAGGTCCACTCGAAACGATCATTGATACTGACATAACAGGCCCGATGAAGTTGGTGAAGTCAGCAGGAGGGCCGACCTTGAGTTTTGCGACCTCTTCGAGCAGTTGGTCTTTGAAGCCGCCCTTCCAGATGGAGGAAGAGACGTAGAGACGGGAAAGCGCTGAGCATTTCTGGCCTATGTGGGTAGACAATACCTAATCAGTGCGTGATTGTAGCAGACACCATGTAATAAACTCACCCTGATACTCGAAGGCGCCTCGAATACTCTGCATCACGGCGTTCTTGACTTCTGCGGATGAATGGATAAGATGGAAGTTCTTCCCACCTGTGCAATACAATGAGCAAATGTTCTTGTACGTCCAAATGAGCGCACGCTCTAGACTGACCTGTTTCACCGACGATTCGGGGATAGCCCTTGTACTTGTCCAGGTTCGAAGCAATGTCCTTCCATAGCTTCTTGAAGATGAAAGTGCTGCCAGTGAAGTGCAGCGCTGCAAAGTTCGGGTTCGCGATGGCTTGTCCGACAACCTCCTCTGCAGGCCCAGGAACGAACTGAATGACACCGGGTGGGATGCCAGCTTCCAGGAATATCTTGTGAGTAAGATAATTGGCATATACAGCCATAGGAGATGGTTTCCACACGATGGTGTTGCCCACCAATGCCGGTGCTACACGAAAGGCGCGCTTTCATTATGGGTTGGCGACAGGATGATCAACGTCGTTCATACCTCCTGATAGATTGCCGCCAATAGCGGTGAAGTTAAACGGTGATACCGCAAGGACGAAACCTTCAAGGGCGCGGTATTCAACCCGGCTAGAGTAAAGTTTGCGTAAGGGCTGCCTAAGCATGGCAGGATGGCGGTAGAAACTCACTTCCAGCTCCCTGCACTGTTCTTCGGGGGTTGCTGAGCGTAAAGTTCCTCGACATACTTCACGCCGAAACGCAGGAAGTCGGAGAACTAACGATACAATAAACCACCATGATCTGCGATGTGCTCAGACCCGGTGTGCGCGCACCTCTGCAGCAGCGTCAATCTCTGCCTGCCAGGCGTTCTTGCCCTGCCCCAGCATAGTCGCCGCAATCAACTGGTAGCGATATTTGCCGCTAACCAGATCTGCAGCCTTGAGGAAGATGGCAGCACGGTCGTTCCACGGCATGGCCTCCCATTCCGCCTTCGCTGCCAGAGCACCATCAATGGCCGCAGCAACAGTAGCCTGGTCTGCTTCATGATAGGTGCAGAGATGCTTCGCGTGGTTGCTCGGGATGAGCTGCTGAGCGATCTTGCCGGTCTTGACCTACCCATCGATCAGGTCGCTCGGTTAACCTCGACCACTCATCTCCGCAGAAGATATCAACAATGCTCACCGGCTTGCCGTTCACCACACATGGAACCTCGAATGGCAGTTCTTTCTCCATCTGTCTCAAGGCATTCTCGAGATCTTTGCGTTCCTTCGAGCCAGGAGCATAGCTCCTCTGGAAGGACACCGGACAAATCAGTCTTCTCTATGGGCATAAGCTTCCACAATGTTACTCGCCATAGGCTCATTCTCGATGGCAGGAACTCTGAATGAGGCAAGCTGAGGCGTGGCCATAATGGTGGCGTACAGAGATGGTTAAGGCCAAGCGTAGTGCGAGAACGCCCTATCTAGTGACTGCATTCAGAGCTATATGATGGACATGAACCGTGACTCGAGTTCCGGGCTTATCATGATCAGTGTATGCGGTGAGGGGCTGCCAGTGGTTCAACGTTCAATCGGCCGAGTCTCAACAGCTTGAGATAGTACAGTGTAGTTCACGCTAAGCTTATTACAACCACCAGATGTACAATTCCGAATTTCAGTGTTGGTATAGGTATTCAATAAACAGGCGTCGACGGGGGAGGGCAGGCGTCCTGGCCGCTACTAGTCCGAAATGAGGGTAGGTTACGGCGAAAGTGTCATAAGGGGTCGTTATCAAATCGTGGACGGCAGGCTATCAATACTCTTCTTCAACTGGGCCAGGAACCAATGCGCGTCGAGGATGCTGCCGGCGCATCGCTCGCAGCCCGCTTGCGCAGACTGTGCCAAGAATGGCATAGAGAAGACAACGTCTGTCGTTGGCCGGACAGCCAGCTCCTGTTTCGCTCTCTCGTGGAAGTCTGCCCACCACTTGGGCGGCAGGAATGCGTGGTAGCGCGCTCCGTTGCACTGCATGCACTTGACGTCCTCCGAGAGCTGAAGGAGTTCCTGAGCTGCCTTCGCGCGCTTCCGGTGAAGATCAAGGAGACGGTGATACGCGTAGGCAGTGATGTGCTTGAGGTCGTCGTGAAGGGGGCAGTCCAGAACGTTTACCCTGAGCGTGTAGCGAGACGCCTCCTTCGCTTCCTCCTCCAGGTCGAACCGACATGCAATCGCATATACGCGGGTGGGTTCAGCGGTTGCGAAGTCGGGAGCGACGAGTCGCTTCCGGAGAATGTCGATGACGCTGACCATGTCGTACTTCATGGCGGCTTCGAGGACAGGAGTGAGCTCGTCCAGCGTGTCGATATTTGGTCTCGACACTGGATAGACATGACGCATCAGGGTCTCCACGGTAGCCTTGGGCTCGGACACATCAATGACGGGCACGTCAACGCACGACTGCGGTGTCTGGGGAAGTGCGAACATGTGCTTGAAGAATGGGGATGCGGCGGAGAGGAGCGATTTGTGAACGCGGAACTCGGTCGAATGTGGTGCTGCAGAGCGCAGGATGACGTCGGCGTCACCGAAGTTGAAGTAGGGGGAAATCATCGCGGAGGAGGAAGAGACGGGGGTATAACAAGAGTACTGGCAGGTCATCGCAGATGACATGGGGAAGAGAGAGGGGTTGAGGGACTTAGAGTTTGAGCAACCGCGGTCAGCTGCTTATATGCGGGACCTGAGCGCGAAGGAGCGACTGTGGCAGGTCTGTGGGGATCTGGTGGGTGATGACGGCGAACGAGTCGACGGTTACTGATCGAATGCGGCCATGGCATGTACACAAATAAATACCGTGGCAACGGTAACACATGTAACAGTGCTCACAAGGCGGCGGGCGATCGGAGGTGCGGAAATGACAGTAGCGAGGCGGCACCAATGAGGCCTTGGTGAGGAGGGAGGGCCTCTCCCTCTCATCGTCGCCTGTCGCGCTCATACCGCTCCCTCGACCGCCCATCCCTACTGTGGCTTCTGCGGCGCCCCCTGTTGTCGCGTACCCCGTCGCGACCGCGATCCCTTGGCTGGGGAGACCGCGACCGTCTTCTGCGTTCTCTGGAAAGATCCCGGCGGACCATTCGCTCCTTGCTCTGGCTTCGGCGCTTACTGTGCCGGTCATCGGGAACATCGAACACCATCCCGTAGCGGCCACCGTCGGCCCCGTAGCCCTCCCTGTATCGCCGTGTAGGCTCCAAATCGTCGACTCCTCCGAAGCCACCGCCACCATGCCCCCGTCCACCACGTGCAGGTCGTGGTCCCATTTTGGGGTTGTTTGACCATCCTCCATTCAGCCGCGCAACCGATTGGGAGCTGTGTGACGATGGTGAGTCAGATTAAACGCACTGAACAGTGACCGCAGGCATGACGCTCACAAGTCGACCCAGATACGCCGCTCGTCAATCAACACGTTTTGCATCTTGAAGTACGCCTGAATGCTGTGAGCAATACACACAAAATGACAGACGACCATCACACATACCTGTTCGGCATCCTCGCGCTTGTCAAATTCTATGAATGCATATTGAAGAGAATCGCCTGTCTTCTTGTCTCGGATCACTTGACAGCTCATGATCGAGCCAAAGCGAGAGAAGATGAGCTCCAGGTCCTCATCCCGGGTAGCTGGGTTCAGCTTGCATACGAAGAGTACATTCTCGGGAGGCCGCACGTTCGCGAAGGGCAGGTCACCAACCATCTCGAGCGTCAGCGCTGACGCGCGAGCTGCCTGCTTTCGTCGTTCTGCCTCCGCCTCCTCTTCGGGAAGAGTAGCCAAGGGGTCTTCATCTTCTGCGATACGCGTGGAATTGTCCGGCGGGCGCGTAGGGATTGACTCGGGCACCACCAGCCCTAGAGGGTCCTCAAACGGGTCGTCTGAGTGAATCACCATGAATCAAGAGAAGAACACCCGTCATAGGAGAACAATGCACACCTAGAATCTCTACATGCCGTATCCGCACGTCCTTCAGTGGTCGCCCCTCCTGGTCTACGAAGATATCATTCAGCTTGTCCAGCGTGTCCAGCCCCTCGACAACGTGCCCGAAGACTGCATGCTTCCCGTCCAGGTAGTCTATTTCATCCGCGAGCGTGACGAAAAATTGACTGCCACAGCCTCCTTCGCCTTGACCCTCGACCGAGGGCGCGACCGCCATAGACACTGTGCCTTTTGCCTTGTGCTTCAGGTGCGGTATGAATTCCGGGCTGAAGTAGCGAGGCTCTTGTTTCCCTTGCTGTGAGGCAATCAATGACCAGATGGACTCGCCTCCTGTCCCTGTTGCAGTCGGATCTCCCGACTGAGCCAAGAAGTCCTTCGACACTGAGCTCATAATGAGACTGAAGTAGGGCCAGTGCTTTGAGGCAACGTACCGTTGAAGAACGCGTTGAGATTGTAGTAGTAGACTTTACATAACTTCAGAAAGTTTTGGCATGTCTTTGGACATGCGTCAACCTCCAGATCAATGACAAGATCGCCGAGCGATGTTTCCAGGAGGACAGACATGGGCTTGGTTGGGCGAATGGTGGAATGATGGAGGAGATGGTGGCCCTGGGAAGGCAGTGGCATAACTAAGCAGCGCACATGAACTAAGTTTTAAGGAAAAAATGTGTAATACACTGATGGTGAAACGGTATCATGCTTGCCTTCCATTGGGGGTGAGCAAGCGGCGCGGGTTCGACTCCCGCTCAGTGTATTTTACAGTAAAAGTTGAAATTCTTTTTGCTTCTCATGTGCCTTCCCAATGTTGTGCCTAGGCCTGACCCGATACTTAATGCAGAATGTTTTGCGCTGGTCTTCCACACCCTCACTACAGCTAAATATTTCCATGTTTCGACCGTACACGGTGTTTGTTTCGCCCGACTGAGGATCTCGAGAACAGCGGCGCTTGACAGGCCTGCCCCGGCGATTTTACATGAACGCTGGCACTGCACCGAGGAGGAGGAACGCACGAGATTAGCCCTGAGGAACTTGAACGGTACGCACTCGGGATTTGCTGCAGCCGGCGTATGTCACGGTAGACGAAGAAACGGAGCTTGAACGTTCCGGAGCAACGACAGAAACGCGCCTGCATGGGCAGAGCTGTTCACGTAGCATATTGTGAGCGCACGTTGAGTACTGACTTGTTAATTTACAGGCGGGGTCGTCGCTGACGCGCGATGATGCACCGCTGGCAACGTTTTCTGCCACTACTACAACCACCGACATTGAGCGATCGAATCTACTTGTTAGAACGTCCAGTGCAAAAGTTCACCTGATCAGGAAACGGTCGTAGCCTCAGGTATGTGCCATTCACATGGATATAACCATAGCTGCCAGAGGAAATTCACAAATGATGGATGTACTAGGATCGGCGACTGTCAACTGAAGCTGAAGCTGGAGCCTAGCTCGCTACGCGGTCGTAATGAGCTTCGTCAATCGACTCCCACTCACCCAAAAGTCGTGTTACGACGTGACGGAACTCACACTCACTCAGAACGATGACGATACCATCATCGACGACGACCTTGCTCACATTCTCCCGTGGTGCCCAAACCTGGAATCAGTCTGCCTCACTGGCGTACCGGATCTCAGTGATCCCACGGTCGTACTGCTTGCGCGGAGTGCCCGATATCTCAGCGGGCTAGACATCTCCGGGTGCACACTCGTTACAGATGTCGCAATACTGGAACTAGCGAGCATAGCGACTGAGCTTGAGGTGGTAAGGGTCAATGGCCTTACCACCCTCACCGACCCCTCCGTGTCTGCACTGGCACGTTCGCTCACGAATCTCCGCGAACTCGAGCTATCGGACCTGCATCTCCTCACCCCATTGTCTATCCGTGATGTGTGGACCTTCGCAATGGACTTGCAACGCTTGAAGCTCGCCAACTGCGTGCATCTTACCGATAAGGCCTTCCCCTACGTACCTACCGTGGCGTCCGAACGCTCAGCTAGCCTTGTATCACTCGCCTCCTTCGCGCAGGAAGAATCTCCGTGGACCGATGGTTCCAGGCCCCCGACATGGCTCGAGACGTTACCCCCTCTCATCTTCTCGTCAGGGCATAAGCTCGCTCATCTCCGATTTCTTGACGTCAGCAACTGTCCACGACTCACGGATACGGCCATCGTGGGCATCGTCACATACGCGCCACGGATTCAACACCTCAATCTTTCGGCTTGCGTACGGTTGACTGATGCCGCAGCCGAGTCGGTCGCTACCCTCCAGCACCTCCATGTATTGGCTATGTCATACGTTGACGGCCTCACTGACAGCGGCGTCGTGAGCATCGTACGACATTGTACAAAGCTCAGATCCGTGGATATCAGCTGTGAGGAAAATCTAACTCGTAACTCTGCAGCAAACGCCCTGATACTCTGCAGACTCGTCTTCTCTAACAGATCTGGCCATCCTTGAGCTGGCCACCCTCCACCAACTACAACGACTTGCTGCCTCGGGACTCCCTAGGCTAACAGATAACGCCCTTCTCTTCATGGCCGAACACGCCGAGTCCCTTGAACGCTTACACGTCTGCCAGTGTAGGCGCCTCACGCTCGATGCCGTCCACATCCTGGTGCGCAAGCTCGCCAAGCTTGAGCATTTGAGTGCTTCCGGAGTACCCGCCCTCAGACGAGCGGGTGTAGAGCGGTTCTCGGACAAACCCTCCTCGGTGAGTAGTTTGTTCGATCAGCAGTTGCCATAGCCCCTTCGCAACGAGATAGCTATTGACGTCAAAGTTGTCGGTGGTTATAGGATTATGACTCACGGAAGCAAGGGCTTCACCGAGTCTTTAACGGAGCGAATGTTGCAGCTCTTCGTCAGTTTCTAGATAAGGAGCAGTTACGGCGTCAGCGTGCTGAGCAGCAGAACATCATATTTGTACCAAGAGCTGATGACATCGAGGCATTATACTAGAATCCATTGTGACCGTGATAGTGACCGCTGACTGTCATCACTCTTCAAGAGCCTCGGAGCCCATACCGCTCACCATGCATCATGTTCTTCTACTTTTACTCTGCGTGTTCGGACTCATTACAAACCCAGATATCTCGTCGCATTAACATCGAGAAGAACACCGCACATGTGAGTATCAGTGTTGTTCTACCCCTATCAACTATACTCGTTCACCTACTAATATAAGCTGCAAGGACCCACAGGCAGAGCGCACCCTTGTGGCTCGGAAATCGAGCTTGCAGAAATGCATTTGCGCATAAATATGGTTCCGGGTCAATGCTGTAGGTCCTCAAGTCGCCGTCCTGTGTGCTGTAAACGACATCGGTATGTGATACGCGTTTTATGGGAGGCGCAAACTCGAGTCTTTCCGTCGCCTGCTAGTCTTAGCCGACCCCATTTGCTGGGCTCATGCCTCTCTGATAATTCAATAATTTGTCCAGTATACAGTCCACAAAATACAAGTATGATAAGAAGCGCGTTGCGGCATGCGCTGTCATCAATTTGTTTGTCAGTCATCGCTTCCAGTCATCGCCGGGCCACTGAGATCTGAATACCGATGCGATTTGGGCCCTGTGCGCTTCAACTTCAAAAGGCTATGCGCATTCACTCAGAGCATGATACCATATACCACCGATGCGGGCCGAGCAGCTCGCACCTACTAACCTTCCGAGTCCACGACCACTCCACAGCGCTGTTTCACGAGTCGATTGAGAGTGCCAAGAATGCCAAGGAATCGCCGAAAATCGCCTCCGACTCTGAACTCCCCGCTGTAACTTTTGTGCCATGGTGATTCCACGTAGCTGCAATCATATACTGGTAGTAGTGCACCCATAGTGAATCAGTACTAGAGACTACAATAAATTTAGTGATATGTCCGTTACTTCTGCCATTACTGTGCATGATGCCGAGTGAATAGTAAGGTCAGTAGAGCCGAGGATACAGTGGAAGAATAAAAATATACTATGCACAAGTTTATATTAGTGTTAGTGTTACTCTACGTTAGTCAAGTTACTTAGTAGTATGTGAAATAGTAAAGTGTCAGTGTGGCGGGTAATCGCGAGGAGAATCGTCTGGCGATGCAAGGCGATTCTGCGCGCGAAGCGACTCTGGAGTCGCTTCGACGACTCGGCTGCTTTTCATGATTTTGGCCGATTCTCGACTACCCAATTCACGTCAACATCGACTCTCGGAGAAACTCCGAATCGTCCCAAAATCGTCTACTCTGACCCCCCCCTATTATACTGCTACCTCCTGTACCCGGCTTCTGATCAGGATCTTCTCTCGTTTCTATTCGCTTCATAGACTACACCATGAAATATCCAAATCATCGGCGAGTACCTTCGCACGAGCTTAATTGCGGCGTCTACTAGGCCTCGGCTCAGAGTACAGTAATCCCATTCTATTCCGAAGTTGAGGGGCGGCTTTGCAGAGCCTGAACTTTTGGTGCATGACATCAAGAGTGATGATGCTGGACTTACTGTATGTCATTTCCGTATCATTGCAGCAAGCCCATCACTCCTCTGCCCGAACGACGTGCTCAGCGTAATTCACGTATCTCGCCATTCAGTTTGACAGAAATGTAATTCAGCACTCTCGTAATGCTCGTGTGCTGATGTGATTCACGTCTATCTGATTCTAGGCAATTTTGCTTACATCGAAGCTACGGAGCTCTCTACCGACGTCTCGCGGGCTACCCATTCTTGCATTCCTCAGAATGGCGGTTCCTTTCAACCCTGCGTTCCATGCCTGGCAATGGATGGCCGGCGGCAGCGGCGAATATCCTGGTCACGTGTATATCTTCAACGGATCGCCGCAGGCCACGACATCATCCTTACGTGCACTAATCCGGATGCGTCATCGTCGACTCGGCCGCGACAGGCACTGAGACAGGAGCTTTCCACGCCCTCGAACGCGTGCTTCCTTTTGCCCACCATACGCAACGACCCGGGGAAATGGACGGAGAGGAGCGGGGATCATCCATTCATTGGTCATTGAGTGTGGCGGCCGAGTCGAACGGCGTCTCGCCAGGGACTGTATTCCTCCAGAACAAGGATGGTACTGTACCTCGATGTTCCTGACTACCAATATTGTCGTCCGGCGGTCAGGCTTTCAGGGACCGAGTGCGCGTTTGTTGACAGTCATACTTGCCGGCCCCACCGTGCAGACTAAGTCTCGTAAAGCATGTATTATGCCTGCGATCCACAACGTGGGGTTTCTTGGGTTAGACGAAGAACATCCCTACCGCCGTACCCAGCTCGAGACGCTGACCATCCTCCGGCTGCGGTGATTGGGCTGTGCGGCGATGTCACAGACTACGGGTGGAGCGAGCCAGTCCTCGAAAGGGCATGAATTTGAGGACGTCGGAGGACAAGGGAACAAACTCCACATTTCGGCTGTGAAAGTCCGACGAATCCCAATGTAAACATAGACCGCGCCGCTCATCGAGCCAACATTTCGTGCGTTGTATGTCATAGTCGAAGACTACTCGTAAACGGTGCGAGAACGTCATTCAGCTGCTACTCCCATGCAAATTTGCGGGTCTGAATACAAGACACGCACCAAAGGATACCGGACCCGGGGCGACACTGAACGCATCCACCACGCGACCGTGGCGTGCGAGCGATGAGCACTTTGACATTCCCAAGACATCTTGAACGGCGGCCAGAGACCGACTATCCGTCATCCTGCAATTGTCGATGATGCTCGAGGGAAGAATGTGAAGAAAAGATCCACGGCCCTCGGCCAACAAAATAACCCACGGC